TTTTCTTATTTTCACTCTTTCTTTTAATTTTACTAGTTGTTGGAGGTGTCGATGTTGATTTCACGCCGACAAGGAAGAACAAAAGCTTCGCGAGGAAGCTGTTCGGGGTCGAGATATATCGATTTTACACCGATGAAGAACAAAAGCATCGCGAGTAGTATGCATGGGCGTTTGAAGGAAGACTCACACTTCGACATACGCAACAACAATCAAGGATTTTCTTCTCCATTCAGTTTTTTTATTCAAATGTTTTGATTTCAAAATCATGAACCCAGATTTGGGAAAACTTACGTGATTAGGTACCGGACCAAGCACTGGGTGACGTTTGGGCTAACTGTACTGTTAGATGGGCGCAGTGGCGAAGCCATGATTTCTTGAGGGGAGGGGCGAACTTAAAAGAATGCAAGGTTAAAGAAAAATGACAACAACTAAATCTTTTTATCTAGTAATGTCTTCCATAATTAATCAATACAAACAAATTACAATTTGGAGATAATGTCTACGAATTGCTTCACGATAATTAGGTGGATAATTAATCATTCGACGTCTATGTGCAGGGTCTGCAGAAGATTAGCCAATATTTCATCCAACTCAGTGACCTCACTTTGTTGTGACCTACTTGGAATATTTGAAGGATGACTTCTTAGAATATTTGAAGGAGGAGGAGGACTACTCAGAATATTTGAAAGATATAGTAGTAAAACGAGTGTGGGTTTAACATAGTGGATATAGTAGTAAAACAAACATAAGGATATATAGTGGTACGCAAAACAGGACTACGTCCACTGCCGTCTCTTTAATATATTACACGAGTTTTGATAACTCATTGGAATGACTTTATGAAATACGTCAAGTTTACTCTCATACGTGGCACACATGATAATTTCGCACGACAAACAAACTATGTTATGGATATTTTCATGTTGCAACAACTAGGAAATTACAATGATCAAATTTGATACAACTGAAAATATATATAAACAAAAATTAAAATTTTGGCTTTAATGCTATGTATTGTTCAATCATACGAGTGTTTTCACTATTAAATTTGCTTTTCACAAATACTTAGATCTTATATTTTGATTCTCAACTGTTTATTTTCCGTATTATTCAATTATACGTAATATTTATATAAAAAAATCCAACTACAAGAACCATAAACTCGTGATTTATCATATTTGGGGAAAATAGGGCTTCTATTTGATTGGACCATTTCGAACAATTTATCCCCAACAGGCCCAATTGAATCGGGGGTTACCCAGTGGAGTTTTAGACTTGGGTCTGTAGCAACTTACCCCGTTGCAGAGAAGCATCGAAAATCCGAAACGAAGAAGAAGGTGGTGTTTCGTACGGAGCACCGGAGCAAAGGAAACAATCAGACATGGGAGAGGTAGTAGAAGCCGTATCGGAGCACCGGAACTCGTTCGCAGCTCCAATTGTATTCGTAATCGTCGTCGCATTCCAGAGGAGATGAACCAGTGAGGTTTCCGGAGAGGGGAGTGGCGAACCCAGCTTTCCAGTGGTGTTTTCCGGCGAGGGGAGTGGCGGCCGCCACTCCTCGCCCCCACGTGGCTTCGCCACTGGATGGGCGTACCATGAATGTTTGCTTCGTAGGGTGTATTTTAATGGTATTTGTTAGTCATGTTCTCTTTGAACTTCACTCTCATAGTAAGTAAACATACCCTTATCTTTACTACTTAAATGTTAATTATCAATTATCTACAAGAAGTTGGCCCGCCCAATGGAGTACCAGAAACTTTAATGATAAGTTGACCCTGTTCTCTTAATAATAGTATAGATGAGCTTGCAACATTTGATAAGTTGGCCCGCAAGGACGTGAAATTAATAGTTAGGGCTAATCTCAGTTTACTATTTTGAAGTTTCTTGGTTTTCAACATTTGATACATGAATTTTTTTTCGTCTTAGTCTAGTACCTAAAGTCATATTCTGTGACATTTTCATATATCTGTTAAGTTTTCCATCCAAATATCCGTTAACTGATGACATGACACATATATGGACAATGAATGGGCACCACGTGTCACTATGGCCTATTTTGCAGCTGAAAGTGAGAGCTATCGTTGTCCGCATTGTTGTCTACTGCGGCGGCTTCGCCAACGGAGGTGAAGAGGGTGGAGGTGGGTGGGGTACAGAGGGTTGGGTGGGCGCAGAGGGGAGAAGGGAGTGAGTGGGGAGGTGACGTGAGGTAGGAGAGGTGGGTGTGCGGGGAAGGTGGGTACAGATGGTTTCGGTGCAGACAAGAGAAGGGATGGAAGGGGTTGGGGAATGAGGAGTGAGGATACAGCCCAGGAAAAAAAATAATTAATTTTTTTAATTTTTTAATTACCATGTGGGCTCATAGTGATACATGGTATCTTGTCATTGTCCACCTAGATGCACGTCATCAATTAACGGATGTTTGGATGGAAAACTTAATGGATGTATGACAATGTTAAAAAAATATGACTTTAAGTATCAAACTGAAACGAAAAAAAATTCATATCCTAAATGTTGAAAATTAAAAAATTTTAAAATAGTAAACTGAGATGTTAAAAATATTTGATAAAGAGAATATGAAAAGAGTGAGGCATTGCCCTACATTTTTTTTCCGGTTTAATTATTTCGTGTAATTTGAAACCCACTTGGTCCATTAAAATATATAAATTATGATCACTTTTACCAACCTTTTGTTTGATCACTATTTAATTGATGACAATGACGGCGGCGGTCAAGCGGTTTCCACAATTATCTCTATCCTCAACCTGTCAACCACCCACAGAATGTTTGGTCCAATAAGGAAAAAACCAACAATAAAATGTGGATTGAGCGTAATTTTTGAACTCGGGTATTATCATTGAATTGGTGGGTCTCAGAGGTGCTACACTAGCGTATAAACGTGATAAGGGCATCTTCAAAAGAGATGATGAATTCCAAATATTACATTTTAATTTGATGTTTGATTTGTCAATTTGACATATTGTCAATATCTTCCATCCATTCGATATATCAAATTTTATTATTTCATTTATGTTTTCTTAAACAAGAATAACAAAAGTTGTTTGGTTACAGTTTATTATTGCTTTGTTGATGTTTCAGTTGAAATAATATGGTACGTCATTTGTTACTATTATATGCCTATATGTCATTTTTTTACATCTCTTTTTAGAGATGGTCTAAGAAAGTTCTTGATGGATTTTGACGGTAGATACCCAAGTGATTTCAAAGATAAACGATATTGACAAGGGGTGTGCTATCCACACATCCCATTTTACTTCTCACACACCCTTTGATAATTTCTGTCCAATGATCTTCTTCAATTCATCCGATCCAACGGCCGAAAATTAAAAAGCTGTGTAAGAAGTAAAATGAGGTGTCTGGATATCACATCCCTATTGAAAATTTTGATCGATTTGAAATGTAAAGGACTAAAATGATGAATTAGTCAAACTTTAGGAAGCTACTTGGGATTAAAATCTTTATGAAAATTGGGGTAGTTTGTACACGAATTAATGAAGATACTATAATGACTCGATCATTTTGATTAGGATGTGATTTCAGTACTTATAGTTTAACATCATCTTCTTCTTTTTTTTAAATGAGAGAGGATCCTTGTCAGATTCTCTTTGTGAGGATCTTAGAGATCCTCTAATCACATCCGTTCATTGTGTATCATATGGTCAGTTTTCGTTAAGTACTGTTTATATTTAATTTTAAATAAAAGAATTTACAATGATCTCTAACCGCATGATGTATGATGAACATATGTAATTTAAGGATCCTCATAATCCTTACAAAGAGAATCCAATGAGAATCATCACTCATTTTAAATAGCTTCATACATTTTAAATTGAGTATTTTATAATTTGTATAATCACAATATTTGGTGTCAATATTAAATTAAAAGTGTCAAATCGCTACCATTTTAAATATGAGACTAAATCAACAACAAGAGATAAGCTGGTGGTTTTGCCACCGTAATTCATTTTTTAGAAGTTTGAAAGACTCACAGAGGTACTTCAATCTCCTCTTGATCATCATCGTGCGATTCACCAACATAAAAAATAAAACTTAAAAGGTGTCATGTGGAATATAAGCCAAGAATTTGTCCTCAACTACTATGTCACCTCTTTGCATCATACTCAGTTTATCAAATCCCCATTAAGTATGTTTAGTCTCTAGGCTATAGGCTACAGGTGTACCTAAATCTATATTGTGATTATTTGTAAATATGTGTCCCCTGAAAATACAAAACTTCAACGTGTAGGTTTAAAATGGATTTGAATCCCATTCAGATTCAAATTGTAGGGATCATAAGGATTCTTACATTTTAATCATTTATTATGCATCGTACGGTCAGAAATCATCTGATTTTTTTTATTTAAAATTAAACACAAATAGTATCTGACGAAAACTAATTACATGATGTATGATGAACGGCTAAAATGTGAAGATCCTTAAGATTCCCACAACGTGAATCCGGAGAGGATCATTTTCCGTTTAAAAATTCAAGACTCAACAAAATCCGTACTATTAAACATATAAAAATCTAAAGTACACATCGTTTGTCATATAAAATATAATACAAAAGGGAATTCCTTCATACTATTCAATATGACTCACAACAAATTACTAGAATGTATTTTGATAAATTATTTTTTCAACAAAAGACTGGAAAATGCATTAGCAGGATTTCACAATGTATTAGTAAACTAAAGTGCATTATCCCAAATTAACCATCACACCCACACAAACAAAAAGTTTACCACGAAATGGATAAGGTAAAAGTCCATGTAAATCCACCAAGGTAAACACCTCACAAAGCTGATGATTAACAACAGTCCTTAGTGGTTAACCACGGTAATTATCAAGCTGTATACGTGTTTTGTTCGTGTTGTATCGGATGATGCGAATAATAGTAAATCAGAAAAGTAAACAAAAAATTAGAGGTAATTAGGAAAAGTAAGTAACTATAAATTGAAAGGGGGCAGGGTAATTAGTTGGAGAGGTTGGAGTTGGACAAAAGCTGCCTCCGTCCCCCAAACAAACAAACAGAACCAGGCAGGTCCTCAATGAGAAATTCCAATCAAACCGTCCGTCTCTCTCTCTCTTCAAACGACATCACGAAATTCGAGACGAGTAAAAAACAAAGAGGGCAAAAAAAATTTAAATAACAAAAAATCTAGGGTTTGCTTAATTTTCTCTCTCTTTCTCTTCGATTTTCTTTCCCTCCAAACAGCCCCGGGAGCGCGGGTGGGGGCGAAAAAATCATTTTTTACAGCTCGGCTTTTTTTCGTTTTCATTTTTATTTTCCTGTTTTTGGTCCTTCGTTCCTCTTCAGATCCTAAGTTTTCTCGGGAAAAAACTTTTTTCCGGGAGAATTTGGCCTGCACCTCCTGCTCTCCGCGACTTTCAACGGTTTTTTGTTCTTCAAGCTCGTCCAAGGTAATTCTCCCTCTCCCCCTCTCTCTCTCTCTGCGACTCTGTTATTTCAATGGAATTTTCCGGGAAAATTTGTATCTTCAGTTTCCTAATCCTCCGATAGGTAAATTTTCAATTTCTTCCCAGATTTTTGGGGAAAGTGTAATTTTTATGCATGCTTGATGGTAGCTGTTCATTTTTGGTAAATTTTTTTTTTTTTTGAATTAAGGCAAAACAGAATTTATTTTGGTATTTTTAGGTTTAATATTGTTGCAAATTTTGCTTTTTTTAGGAGTTTTATGTGTGGATTGTTGATCTGAGAGGGACGATAGCTCGTAATCGGAGTGCAGGAAGGGAGGGAAAATTGTTGAAGTTCTTGGATTCATTGAGAGAGGATTTGGGAGCTCCAGGATAAGATTTTTGATATTTAGATGGTTGGTTTGTTCAAATAGTCGAATTTACGGTCGCTGATCTTGAATTGGTTGAATTTTGGATGCACGTTGCTCTATGGATTCAGAACCATTTCCATCCTCAAGGCCGACGGTGAAATGTTGTAATTGTGAATGTAGTTGTTCGTTGGTGAGTGTTTCTTCAGGGGGGACTTGGCTTCGGTCTGTTAAGAGAAAGTATGGCGAGTTTGAGGATGGTAACCGTTTCTTTATACCCGGGATTGAACTTTATTATAATGCACGAGTCCAAATGGAGAACGAATGTGTTGCACTACGCGAGACGCTCAGTAGCCAGCAGAACACGATACAAGATTTGTATACTGAGCTGGACGAGGAGAGGAATGCTTCATCATCCGCTGCCAATGAGGCTATGTCAATGATATTGAGGTTGCAGGGGGAGAAGGCTGAAATACAGATGGAGGCCCGGCAATTCAAGAGTTTCGTTGAGGAGAAGATGGCACATGACCAGCAGGAGCTTTTGGCACTGGAAGATTTTCTGTATAAGAGAGAACAGGCGATTCAGGCACTCACGTGTGAAGTGCAGGCCTATAAGCATAGAATGATGAGTTATGGGCTCACGGAGTCTGAGGCAGAAGGTGAGAATGGTTCCTTTAGCCGTATCCAGAGTGTGGGTGACTTTGAAGCCCAGTATGAACTTCCAACAACGCCCACATATGAATACCCACCTTTGAAATGTAAAATAAATGAGACCCAAGGTGCGTTGGAGTGTGATGATGATGCAGATGTTGAGAAATATGCATTTGGTGAGACCCCTCGTGGGAGAGAGCATTTGAGAAATTTGGAAAGCAGGCTCCATCAGATGGAGAGGAGTCCGAGTGGCAGTTCGATGGGAGGGGATTTTTCAGGTTCCAAGAACATTTTTGAAAAGGTGGTGGTTGGCCATTCTCCTCGGCGGTCAAGACATTCCGGAAGACTTTCAAGTGACTCACCTATGTATACGGTTAAAGAAACTGGTCCAGATTTTGCTGAATCTCCTAGATATAACAGCAGCTTCAGGAAGGCAGACTATGTCTCACAGTCTGAGGACTACCCAAATACAAGAAAGTTTGATAATATATCAGAAGTTGGAGATGACACGAGTGATAGAATTTATACCATTGACTCTGTTCATAACGGAGCACCTTACAATGGTTATACAGAAGCCAAATCTGGAGTAACTCCGAGGGGACTTACTGGGCCTGATTTTGAGGATCCTGATGTCATGAAGCTCTATATGAGGCTTCAGGCACTTGAGGCTGACAGGGAGTCAATGAGGCAGGCAATGCTTTCTATGCGAACAGATAAAGCTCAACTGGTATTGCTTAAAGAAATAGCTCAACATTTGTGTAAAGATATGTCACCGGAGAAACAAATGATTGTGAAGAAGCCATCTCCCGTTAGAAGCTTTTCTTTCATTTCTGTTTTTAAGGTAATTTTGGATTTCATCTATTGGCAATTGAAATTTAATTTCTAATATTGCTACATGGTTGATTATTTTTATTTATTCTCATGTTTAAGCCAGAGAATGCTATCAACATTATCGTTTCCATGGACCATTATGTATTAACACTAGTTGTCTGTTTAATTGTTGTGTTCAGTGGATCATGTCCTTTGTTTTCTGGAGAAGGAGGGCACGCCGAAGCAAGTATGTAGCTCATACTTCTTACTATCAGAACAAATATAAATCAGTAGTTTTACCTTTGTTATACAACTGACACAATCATTTTGTTGACGAAATGAAAACCAATATGTTATAATTTGGAAAAGACGAAGGCATACTCATCTAAGCAACAAGCACTGTTTACAGCAACAATTATAAGCTATGCAGAAGAATAATTTGAAACAAATAATTCTAGTCTCACTACGATGTATATCCACGGCACTATGGTTTTTTTTTCCGCATTGCTGGTTGTTTATAGAGGTCGCACTTGGTGCGATGGCAAGTGCTTTCGCCCATGAGCGGTAGGTCTCGGGTTCGAGACTTGGGAGCAGCCTCTCCATAAATGGGGGTAAGGCTAGCCGACATTCACCTCTCCCAGACCCTGCGTAAAGCGGGAGCCTTGTGCACTGGGTACGACCTTTTTATTGCTGGTTGTTTATGCCCATATTATGGTTTTCTAACATCTTTAAACATAATTTCAGGCATATGTTTGGGCTATCAGCCAATGTGGGTTTGCTTATGCTTCTAGACAAGGGTCCCCATGTAAGGCAGTGGAGATGTCTTACAAGTACACAAGTGTAAAACCAGTTAGCAAACATCCGTCATATCCATATCGAAAGCTATGCTCACATGTGGACACACGTACCAAAGGGCATTTTAAATGACACTTCTACAAGTAGGTTCGGCATTCTTTTCCTGGCTTGGTTGGTTGTGCTGCTGAATTTGGGTTTATGTGCAGAGTGTTGTTTTGATTCAATTTTTCTTTTCCTGGGGGTTTGAGTGTAATTTTCTGGCTGACCGACGAACCATGGCGATGATTTGAGCGTGCTTGCTCTCATGTATGGTTCCTTGGAATTCAGCTCAAAGCTGTGTCATTTGACAGTCCTCTCCTGTACATTGCAGATGATTGTATGATTGATTTCCAATTCAAAATATGCAAAAGGCCAATTCTTTCAGCCCTAGTTTTTGCAGGTTTTTACGGTTTTACCATAAAGGGATTTCAAAATCTTGGTTCTTGTTGGAATATAATTTGGTCATTTACCCCTATATTATTCCTCTTTGAAACCCAACTGCTCCCTAAAGCATGAGTGGATATGCTTTTTTGGACCACCACCACGCAAAAGTGCTTTCAACAAATCAATTGGTTTGCTCTGTTTAAATAATGCTGGTTTGATAGGGCCATGTGTATTGTCCTTCCCTTTGTCATAATTGCTTTTTTTTTTTCGACTTTGTCAAAATTAAGGTAAGATTTTCCCAAGTTCCAATTGTACGTTTTCAGATGCTTTCATGTCAGATTTGGACAGTGATTTCTTATTCTAAATTACTCTAATTTACCGAAGGGGATTAGAACACGGTATAAAGTTGTCCTACACAGTTAGCCTTGCGCTCGTTTTCTAATTACACTTTTTAACTTGGGTTTTATAATAGATGATTTTTAACAACTTTCATCAATAGTTATAACTACTTAGCAGTACAAAAAATGATCTGTCAGAAATGAATCAAGGAAATACATTTTTTTCCTCAACTAACAATCTAATGGATACAAAGTCGGACATACTGAAGACAAACTTGATCCTTAACAAAGTTCTATGGGAATGAGACAAATTGTAGCCTGCTGAATTAATCTTGTTACTAAACATGCTGATTAAGTTTAATAAGGTTTGAGGAGCACATTGTTTGACCATTCTCATGGACCAGTTTAATGGCAAGGCAGCCAATGGTGGGTGGGTGAGCACATTCTTTCAACCTTAAGACATATTCCTCGTGACGACTCATCCTTTTTTCTAGAGCATTAAATCCAACTAATTCTAAATCTTCTTATTTTCGTAAATGAGAATAGTTTAGAATTTTGTTTTACCAAAAATAGCTTGTGTAGCTAATCCAGTTAGTCAGATCAATGTGCTTGTCTTTTTGCCTCAAGTTCAAATCTCCTTCCATTCTCTTGATTTTATAAGAGGAAAACTAACGAAAAGTCCTCAAAAATTTTAGTTTTAATGAAAATGACAACATAAAGGTGTAAGTGATTAGTACCAAGAAAGGTCAAAATGTCATTTTTCGTTAAAAGTGAACAGTATCAAGAGTGTTTCGTTAAAACTCCATTTTATAAGTTTAGTTTTTTCACCAATAATTAAATTCTCTCTCTCATGCCGTATTGACAAATCCAACTCCAATTTCCAATGAGCACCACATTTGAGGCGCGCTGACCATCACCCGTTTGTATGACATAGTCATAACATGCATGAAAATATAACTAAAATTATCAACTGATAAGTGAACTCTTAAGTCCAATTAAGTTCTCTCTTGTGCCATTGTGGAAAAATATGATAACATTCCAATGCAGGATTTTTGGTCCCCCAAATCACCTTACGTCTTCAAGACGATGTTGTGGGGGACAAGTTCTACCTATAAGATCGTAGTAGTGTCATATTTATTTTCCCCTATTACATGAAGATTTCAATCTATAACGTTGTTCAAGATGGGTTTTTTATTTGGGAAATTGAAGGTTATAGAACAATTTTAAACTTTTATGGGAAAGTCAATATGACCGACATGACATGAACATGATCAATATGAATTCTCACACAATAAATATCCAAAATGCCTATGCATATGTTGCTTACAATACTCAACATGATCGATAACCTTTAGGTCCATTCCATCCTCCAAATGCAAAATCTTAATTGTCAATCGTATTGTTTAACATGGTATACATAGTGGGGTATTTAAGACATTTCACAAGTGTTTTGTACAAACAATGCAGTTACAACTTGTTCTAGTACAACCGGTAAATCATAACTTATTTTTTTTATACAAAGATATATTATAATAAAGAAGAATATCATTAAATTATAGTATTAAATGATACAATAAAAATAATTTGTAATGAACCTATTATAGATAACTAACATTGTACGATTATATTAGCACGGTGACATCCCGTGCCAATAAAATATAAACGTGTAATTTTTATTCACATCTCTTTTTTTTATTGGCATAAGACGTTAATAGGCGCGCTGTAGCTACACCAATCTAGCTAAAACCCTGCCCCATAACTCAGCCGTTGTCCAGTATCAGCAAAAACCCTCCATTCTCCAATGCTTAGCTGCAAAACGCTATTGTCCCAAAGGACCAAATCCATCAGGAAGAAGAAGAAAACCAAATCCAAAAACAAGAAAACAACCAAATCTGTATCCACAAAACAAAACCCCATTTCCAAAAACTACCAAGAATTAGAGGAAGAAGAAGAAGATGAAGATTTTGAACAAGGTTTCAATCTCAAGGCCTCAGCTCCATCGAGCTCCCATGGAGTTCAGCCACTGGGAAATCTCTACCTCAGCCCAGGTTCTGTCAACTCAAGGAACACTGGATTAGGTAATCTCCAAACCCTAACAGATGAACTTGTTCTTGAGATTTTGGGGCTTTTGGGTGGGACCCACTTGGGGGTTTTGGCCACTGTAAGCAAATCTTTCTATGTTTTTGCAAATCATGAGCCCCTCTGGAGGAACCTTGTGTTGGATGATCTAAAGGGTGGGCTTTTGTATAATGGGTCTTGGAAATCTACTTACATTGCTGCTCATTGCCCTTCTTTTGATGTGTCAAGTATCCGTGTTTCGGGTTTGAGAGTTAGGGACTTTTATTCTGACTATCTCTTCCAGAGCTGGCTTTGTGCCAATCTTGAGATGAAACCCGAGTGGCTTGAAAGGGATAATATAATCAGGAGAAGGGGCATTTCGGTTGAGGAGTTCATTTCGGTTTTTGAGGAACCGAATAAACCGGTGCTGTTGGAAGGGTGTATGGATAACTGGGTTGCATTGGAGAAATGGGATAGGGATTATTTAGTTCATTTGTGTGGTGATGTTCAATTTTCGGTTGGGCCAGTGGAGATGAAGCTTGGGGACTATTTTCGGTATGCTGATCAGGCGAGGGAAGAGAGGCCGCTGTATTTATTTGACCCAAAATTTGGAGAAAAAGTAGGAACTTTGGGTTCTGAGTATGAAGTTCCGGTTTACTTTAGGGAGGACTTATTTGGTGTTTTGGGCATTGAGAGGCCAGATTATAGATGGATAATAATTGGACCAGCTGGGTCAGGTTCATCATTCCACATTGATCCTAATTCGACTTCAGCTTGGAATGCAGTGATCACGGGGTCAAAGAAGTGGGTGTTGTTTCCTCCTGATGTGGTTCCTCCCGGGGTGCATCCCAGTCCAGATGGAGCTGAGGTGGCATGTCCTGTTTCAATAATTGAATGGTTCATGAACTTCTATGGTGCAACAAAGACTTGGAAGAAGAAACCCATTGAATGCATTTGTAAGGCTGGGGAGGTGATTTTTGTACCTCGTGGATGGTGGCATTTGGTGATCAACTTGGAGGAATCAATTGCCATTACACAGAATTATGTTAGCAGGTATTGTTCTTATATAACTCATGGTTCATAGTCTGTAACTTTTGTTGTATTTCTTGTTATAATGGTGAACTCTCTGCTCCTACTATCTATTAAAAGAACAGATTACATAACACCATTTTTCGAAGGCCACGTGGAAACCCTGTGAATTTAGGGGATTATTAGGTGAAACTTTAAGCATTCAATTGTGATATTTCTCATTGAGTGATTTAAGAAGCAGTAAATGATATACCCTAAATTGCTGCAGCCCTAGGTTGTGATGAGAAATTCGTAGATGCTTGAATCATGGCCATAGTCCTAGGAGTACAAAAGTATAATACTTTTAGGTAGTCCTGAGTGTTGGTGTCTGATTCTTTGTTTTCCCCGTTGTGTGATTACCGAATTTGTTTCCTTTGGAGTACCTTTAACCATGCAATTTGAAGAAGATTCTTTTAGAGGGAGGGATATTTGATATCTTTCTGCTGTGTTGACAAGAAAGCAAATAGATTTAGTTTACATAAAGATGCTTGAAGTAGAGGCTTCATCGGTCAAGTTAAATCTGTTAAAACTTTTTCGAAACTGAGAGATGTCTAATAGGCATGACAGAGATGAAGTTAGTGAATCACAAGGGTTGTGTATATTCTTGATCCCACATTTCTAAGAAAGTAAAACTTTTTAGTTACTCCTGCCCTAATGTTTTGTACTTATGAGCAATTAGCTCACTGTGGAATGTAACGATGTGGAGCAGGCGTGTCATGTGGCTTATGACAAATAGGTATTTGAATTCAAGCATATGGGAGAAAGCAGAATTGTTTTAGCAAATAGATACATCATGTTCATGTTGACAGGAAAACTATGTCAATGTGTACAAAGATTCTTACCGCAACATGTAGCTTCAGATGAAAATGGAACTCCAAAAAGAACCCAAATAACAAGTAAAACAGTTCAGGTTGTATTTCTTAACTTCATATTGGCAGGATAAGGGTATGCATTGCACTGACCATTCATAATTTCCACTGTTTTGGAACAGAAAAGGGTGGTTTGCCGTTAGTTACCTGGCTTTTTTTGTTTTTGCAGGAGAAATTTGTTGGACGTCTTGGATTTTCTTAAGAGGCCAAATGCCAGCACTCTGGTATCCGGAACCAGAGATCGAGTGAATTTGTATGACAAGTTTAAAAATGCCATTGAGGCTTCTTTTCCTGGAACTATTGATCACCTGACTCGGAAAGCAGAGGAGAAGAATGCCCAGCAGAAAAAACCATCCTTCTGGGATTCAGTTACGGATTCAAAGGCGGGTGCTTTCAAGTTCTCTTTCTAGTCGAAAGAGACCACAAACACAGAAACTGCAACAGTCCTCCCTCCAGAAGAAAAGCGAAAAGAACAATTTTGACACTAATTTTATTGGTTTGACATTGTTGTATTTCATTCCTTGACCCTATGAGCTTGCACCTTTTTATTGTTCCCAATTTTCAAATATCAAATTCACTAGGAACTTGCCTGTCCATAACTTTAGGAAACTCATGAACTTGTACTTGAATAAAGTCAGTTCAACATAATGAAAGCTTGATACTGCCAAGGCGC